AGCCGGTGAAGGCTCGCTCTCTCGTGGAAAGCCCTTCCTGTGGTTTCAACTGGGGAGGGATGACTTGTTCCCACACAGCAGGAAGAGACTGAAAGTGGCGTTACTAAAGACGTGCCACCACCCGACTCACACAAAAGCGCCCGAGAGACAACTCCCCCAAACAACAAGAACACAACCCCAAGAAGACAGAAAGCACTCTGGGGGTGGTGTCCAACAGAAGGAAGTTGGCAGAATCAGCAGAATCTCAGAGCGAGGTGCCTTTTTAAGGAAGAACTATGGTACAATCGTGTTCTCAGACACGTCATCACCTGACAGACGTCCGAGCGGATGCCAGTTTTCCAGAACCCTTGGCTACTCAGCTCCACAGTGACTTCTCGCCTCATTGTATTCTTCTGTCGGATTTTTTGGAGGGCTTCCTAGGAAAAAAAGAACTCGCTATCAGTAACCCAGGAGGTGTGAGGCGATACTGAGCCAAACATCAGGAATTAGCAATGAAGCTGGATCCATTCACCATGATCCTGACATCGCAGGACGCAAGCCTCTTCCTGCAAACTCACAATCGTTCACTTGAAATGAGGGTCAGGATACTTGAAGCCTTGAGTTTAAGGCAGCCTTTCCTAATATCTGGGTAAGAAAAACCTGGACCAAACCTACCTCTCTCGTATGTTCAAGTGAAAGATTTCCTTTCACTGATTTAAAACAACGCACACACCTGGTGTTTGAGGCACTGGAGATCAACATGTAGAAATCATATTTATATCAAACCTTGCGTCCGGCACCCACACATAAGAAAGGTGGCGAGTAAGTTCACCGGCATCGCCCAGAATTCTCCAGTCCACTTTCTAATGTGCAAGTCCCTTACAAACACACTTGCAGCGGGGGCTCATTTCATTCCAGAGGCGGTAATGCCAAACGCCTGGAGAGCGCATCAGGAAGACGCTTCCTTTCGACTGCCCTTTAACCAAATGATGGTAACAAATAAATTTTGTATTTGTGTGTACACAATTCAACAACAATTTCTTACTCCTACAGCTTCCTAAAAAGACAGGCCACCAAGACCACCCCCAAAGCTCCCCTCTTGATCACACACGTCGATTAATCGAAGGCGTGCTTATCACCCGTGGTGGTGTTTCCCTTACAGACCTATCTTTTGCTGGGCCGAACATTGAACCATGGGGCGAGTTCCTTTTGTTTAAGTTTTT